TAAACAATACTTCATGCCACAGAAATTTGCAAGGGAAGACTTCGAATCTCACTTTTCCTTGCCCCTTTATGAAATTTATACATAACATCCTTATTGGGGGCTTAAGTATGCCTTTGGACCCTTTGCCAACGTCTACAGAGATGATACGTGCACTAACAGAAGTCTATGAACATTCTATATATATAATTTACAGCCCTAAGAATGAAAGAGATTTAAAAAATAAGTGTTTAACAGCTTATCTGGGTTTTTCTGTGGTCTTCACTGAAGTTTTCTCTTCTTCATGATGAAGTTGCCTTTCTTCCCTGACCTTTTCAAGTCTGTTGCGTCACTCATTATGTATGCAATATAATTAAACGTCTTTCAATAACACTATTTATAAGAAATTTACATAAAGGTTCTTTACATTCAAACATTACCACATTGAGGGTTAAAACATAGTTCTTGTGTAAAGCAAGTGTGAAAGAATAATAATAAATGTTCTTTTGTGTTTGCAGTTTGTTAGTATTTTTGTTGATAATCCTTTCATCTATTATCACTTTACAGCATTGTATTCCACAGACTTTGATGGATCTGCAGGAAACTTCTTTTGGCAAAAGGTCATCAGACGTTTTAGTCCCTGAGAAAGAACAAAACTGGTTCACTGCAACATATTTACGACATTTTAAGACATAACTTATTGATTTCATTAGATAACTATTTTTTATCATTATTTTCCATCTTAATCTTTACCTGAATGTACTTCCTTTGAGTTTCATCATTGAGAACATCTGATAAAACAAAAGTTAAGGGAACATAGCAATAAATGGAAACTTGATGGGCTACATCATTTGGGTAGAAGTGACTGTTAACCCCTTCACCTCCAAGATCTTATGAGTAATTCTCCTCAATTTTTGCCTTACAATTTTTGTGGTGTCAGTTCGGAGAATTTGGTATTTGATCAACTTATGATCCCCTAGCTGATATTTTTCATTATTCCCATCAGTTGTCTACCTGATGTTGTACTGAAATTGTAAGGAGAAATTCTGTCTTGGCCCTCTATAGGAGTTGAAAGTTTAAGAGAATTGTGATCGTTGTACTTGAGCTTTAAAATTCAGTGGAAATCCTCCTGTAAATTAGCAAACATCAAACCAGTAAACAGGTAAAAGGGATACGAGCCACATTCTGAGCAAAAATTTTTTCTCTTCCTGTTCGTGCGTGAATTCCCACCATAGTTACACCAATAGGCCAAGGTGCATTTCCTATTGCCATCTGAAGATATGAGTCATTGGCCTGTAGGATAAAATATAGTGATGCTTATCAAAATAAGCTTCCCTTTAAAATATCCTTCATTAGCAACAAAAATTTCTTATGAAAGTCCTACTAAAAGTTGTCTTAAATATCTTTTAACTCTTTCCACCCTAGCATCAGTATGCATATTCTCCACTCTGCTCTCTATACATTTCCTGATGTGCTGACAAGGAGAATTTGTTTAACAATCAAGAGCTTCTTTAGTTGGTGATCATTTCCTCTTTTCTTGTAACTTTAATGTTTGATTCAAGGGTGATATTGTAAGGAGAAATTAAAGGCTATCACTCTCAGGGGTCCAAGGGTTGAATTGGAGTATAGTCTCTAGATGGAATTTTTTTTTTTGGAAACCAATCAAAACAATGAATAAAATCAATGAAAGATTAAAGTAAAATCAAAGTAACTAACATCATTGAATTGACTTCATACCTTGACATACTCTCTTTCTAAAAGATTCATTATGATGGTTGTTAATGCACCAAGAATATCTTGAGGTGTTTTCTGTATGGAAACAACAAACAAATCTGACATCAATAAGTGCAAGTGTCTGAGGTTTTTAGATGACATTTAATAAGTTCAACATCTTTTTTTTTTATAGCAGAAATTTCCACATAGAAAAAATCTATGTCATTTTTTAATTTAAAGTTATCACTCTGATAATTATAGAACTCTTATTGTTGATGACTTTGAAAAGCCATGATAATTGTTAAAAAAGGACAGTTCTCCAAGTTTATTGTTTACCTTATTTTTAAGTTTTCTCAACAATGGCTTCAGATATGATTCTGTCTGTCTTTGAGTAGCACCTGCCAATTTTGCCTATTTGCAAACAAAATAAATAAAGTAAAAAAACAAATAACTTGGTCAATATATTCAGCACCTAAACATGCTTTTGACACAGATAAACACAACTGGAAAGAATCCACTTGTGTTTAAAATACCAAAGGCTAGGAGGCAGACAAGTTGGCTATTTGCAAGCCACAGCACAGGGGTGACCTGAAGACTACACATGTGTGTTGACACCTGGAGACTGCATGGGCTGATACTGATATTTGATTGTGACATATGATTGTCTGCATGAGGGTAGTCCAAAGAGGGACTGTTATCAGTTGTACTGACTAATGCTTCAAAAACCTGAGTGGAAGTCACCATCATAGTCTAGTGAGGAGTTCTTGTCAATCAAGTTCACGTAAACTGCTAGTCAATCTTGCTGTGATGTTAAAATCATACTGATCTGTTGTAAACATTCCATTTTGGTTCCAAAGGAAAAAAAGAGATGGATTCATGTATTGTAGATCTTCAGTTACTATTATAGTAATTTCAATTTCTAATTCTGTAGTGAATCATGAAAAATGCTCTAGCTCTAGCTCAAGGTTTTTTTTTTTTTAACAATTTTAGTGTAGTGTGCTACCTCAAGGCTTCTTTTGCTATCATCAGATCTTGTCTTGCAATCCTTAGCCCATAAACCAAGGAGGAACTAAAGGGAAAGCAAAACAAACAGACATCTAATGACAAACAGAATCTATTTTGCTGTGGGTTTGTACAGTAATAGACACAGATGACGTCAAATTGTGTTAAGAGCATTAATGACATGCTCAGCTGTGGGTCATCTGCTGCATGCTTGTTTTTTTTTTTTTTTTTCATCAGTGCCTTTATCCAAATGACAATTTATACTTTAATACTGCATTATTAACAATTTTCTGTGAAAGTACAATCTGCAGTTCACCTGAATAAACTTTAAGATGACATCTTGATCCAAATTTTCATTACCTTTACCCATATTTATGGCCAGTTCCTTCAAAAAAAATAGAGAATATATTGTGCATATAGTTTAAAAAATACACAAAAATTAGCATTAAAAATATCTTTTTAATTGCAAAATATATTCAAAAGTAGAAAGCTAACCAAAGATAAATTTACCTTGATATCCTCCAAGGTTGTTCCATCTTCTTCAACTTGTGACGATTCTTCACTTTCTGAACTTTGTTGTTCACCACCACCCTACAAAAACATCCTTCTGATTAATTGCCTTATTCTCCTTACCATCTTCCACAAAAGTCTGTTTTGAGCCAAGTGCTCATCTAGTCACTGCTTATCCTGATTTCCTTAGCATCAAGTGACAAAACATTTTTACCCCCTCCTTCCCTAGATGAGATGCCAGTTCATCACAAAGTTACCCCTCCCAGCATTTCATCAGGCCTCCCTGACAATTCACCAGTACCCATTTATACTCCTGGATGGAGAGAGGCACTGTTGGTGTTTTGCCCAAGAACTTAACACAATGACCTGGCTAGGTCTCACACTCGCAGAGGTCAGAATGGCCGAGTGGCTAGGGCGCTGGACTTATAATCTGGTGGTCCTGGATTCAAGTCCTCCACCCTACCACTCACTAGATTTGTCCTCAGTCACCCCTATTTCAACTACTCAGCTGTGCTGTGTAAATAAGCCAACTGTTTTGTCTCCTGCCAGTTGGGATTTTCAAGCACTTTATGTTTATCTGAACTATTTGTTTCTCCCTCTTTTCTGGCCCAGAATTTAAACTACTTAGTCCATCAGTAATTGTGATAGCCATTAAAGTCTATTTTTTTTAACTCTGACCTCTTGAAACGGAGTCCAGCAAACTAACCATTAGGCTGCTGTGTTTGACACTATCTGGCATACATTTCTCAAAATTTGTAACCACATATTTAATAAAAATCATTCATTAATTTTTTTTGTCATCTTTTGTTCGATGAGAGCATACCTGCTGTTTAATTAACTCTGCTAAATATTCCTGATCCACTCTTTCCATGGCGGCTTTGAAGTCATTCCTCAAACCCTGGTGCAAAACAAAACAAAAAACAAAACAAAAAAACAAAAAAGCAAAAAAAAAAAAAAAAGAAAGAAAAACTGAATAAATGTACAAAAGGATCCTCTTTGGAATTTTTGCATGGTATGCAGTAAACTTTTCTCTGCGCAACCTCTCAGTGTTAAAAGTAGATATTTATGTTTCTGTAGGATTAAACAAAATGTTGTGAATCTTCAAGCATTATTAATTCTTTCAGTAATTCCCTCTTTTATCTCTGTTGTTCTCTTATCTGTATACAACATTGTGTTAATCAACAACAGGCTCTGTAAATTGAATTTAAAACAAAAAAAGTTGGATTGAATTTCAATTCAATACCTTATTAATTTCTGGAGCAAGCATCTCAATTCGCCTATTGATTAAAAATACATTTTTTACTATCAGTGTTTTGCATACAATCCTGTTAAAGCTAATCATGGGGAGACACACTGACTCAGCACTCCTAGCTTGACTTTTTTCAAAGAATTAAATCTGCCAACAATGAAAAAAAAAGCTCAGGCAAGTAAGGAAAGTCTGGAAGAAAACAGTGGAACATATCTGAGTAATACTCCATCAAAATGTTTAGTACCTCACTTTGACCTCAGACCATAAAACTAAGTCAGAAAAACCTTATCACTTGCTATATAACTATCCAAAACAGGTTACAAATTTAGTCATCAAATTTTGTCATGGTCACCAAAGCTACCTAAATAGTCACAGCTTGGAGCACTATAACTACAAACCTCAATCTTTGACAAGCTTCCTCATCACTCTCAGCAAACAATCTAATTGGTTCTGCCCTTTCCCTCAATCTACGAATCACCTTTTGAAAGAACATGAAGAAAAGTCTTCTGTACCTGCCACAAACATTTCTTACAGATGAATATGGAGAAATCCAATTACTGCAAGGAAGATCAAAGGAGGTACAAATCTGTCTCCTATATAATTATCTAATGCTGATAACAGCTGATTTCAATGAAATGCTGTTTTTATGTTCTAGTAATTAATTTCATTGGAGTATTTTCAACTTTCTTAGAGATTTGTGAGTAATTTCATTTCTGCTAGTTACTGCTAAATTACTGCTAAATTACAATAATGACCTCCTCTCTTGGAATCAGAGCAGAATTTGCTTCATTTTCATCTTTTTTTCTTTTGAAGGCAGCAAATATATCATCATCTGCAGCCCTTTTACCAGCTCTCTCCTGAAAATGGGTCAACAAAAAACTCTCACAAGGCATATTTCGGTTATTAAAAACATAAATATTACTGTCATAGTAAGTGCATTAAATTCATGATCATCGTTAATTTTGCTTGTGTTCTTCAATTCACACTGTCTCCTACCAGGCTATAACACTTTTGGCAAAGCAAAGGGATTTCAGAGGAACCTGGAAGCTGCCAGAGTTCCCTCAGCTTCTTAATAACATGCTGCCGGTTATGCTGGTCCAAAAACAATTACCTTTTAGCTCTTAAACCCTATAACTCCCATGAGTGACCAATACAGAATTTCTCCTTACAATATCAATACAATATCAACCAGATAAGTGTTGAGAATAAAAAAAAATATCAATTTGGGGATAATTAGTTGAGCCAATACTAAATTCTCTAAACTAACATTATAAGAATGGTATGGTCGACAGTAAGGAGAATTACAAATTTGATCTGGGGGTTTAAGGGTTAATGAACTCCTCACAGTCACCTGCTTTTACCAAGTCCAACCCCAACTCCAAACCATTTTGAAATCCCTGAAAGCAGTATCCTATAGAACCTCTTATTCAAAGAGAAAAATCATTTACCTCTTTTTCCTGAAGCCTTTTCTAGATTGGAATTAAAAATATACAAAGTGTTAGAAGACTAAATTCATTTCGTAAAATTAATTTGCATTTAAAATTTGTGAGAAATCAAGTACTGGAGGCTTTTACCTCTTGCTTTTTTCTATAGTCTTCTGCCTGTTTAGCAGTTAGGTCCCCACGCTTAAAGTATTTTTTATTCTGGTGAAAGACAAAAATAATATCATGATGCAGCCTATATTACTGACATTAGCAACCAACTAAATAAATAAAAATGTTGTTTGTAAATATGAATGTTGTAAAAACTGAAATACCTCCACTGACCAATTCTAAGAAGGGCATAACTTAATGCTATTACTAAGAAAATGTTTTAATGCTGTTAAATTAATAAATGATAAATTTGCAACTTCTTTATGCTCTCTCAGCATAAAATTGTTGGCTACAGTAGCATAACACAGCCATATTCAGAACTGATGTTAATAGGTCCCCTAAAGTTTATTTATGTTTACCAAAATGTCATTTAAACCTTTACTTCCAAGATCACACAATCAATTCTCCTTACTGCATACCATATATTTACTTATGTTTTAGCTCTGAGAATTTGGTGTTAAATCAAGTACTCTCACTAAGTTATTCAGTTTTTTTCTTCACCTTTCTGCTTGTTTACCTGCATATGTTGCAAAGAGGAATTCTTTTTGGATCATTTGTGGAAGCGAAAGGGTCAACAATGTTTTTAATTGATTACATTGGGTCAAAGTAAGCCTCAAATGTACAAAATGTAAGTTAAACCAAAAAGAACTATCACAGCACAGAAAGGAAAATCAAGATAGTTGATTCACTTCCTATTTTAGTGATAATGATTACCAGTCTAAATTCTCTTTTGTTCCAAAAGTGATTTGGTGATATATTTTTTGTTAATCTCTTGATTTATCTAGCAGTCTTGACTTGATCTATCTGCGGTGGTCGGCATGCAGATTGTAAACGTGCATGTAGATGTAGTTATAATTTTTTGTGCGCCTGCAGTACAAATTCCAAGGCTCAAATTATTTACTGAAAACAACTATGTTTTACTGTGTGCACAGCTTGCTCTTTGTCTTTCCTTTGCCAAACAAATTCTTTCTTCTTGGTTAAGTATTTAAAAAGTTAAGAGAGAAGAAAATTTGAAAACGAACCGTGAATAGATATGATTAAGACATATTCATCTTGCAAACATAGATAAAGAATAGGAGAATCCTATTCGAGCTGGTTCTGTTCGAATTTATCACATTTTGGCCAAACGTTTCTCTTGTATTGTAGTTCTAATTTAAAGATACTTACCGATGTGACTTCATTTTGATCTATCTGTTTCCTTTTTCTATCGAGTTCAGCAAGAAGAAAGTCCATTATACTTACAACCTCTCGAAGGTTACAGTTTCTCCTAATAATTACTAACTCGTATAAAAGCGGAATAGTATCCTGGCAAGATTTTTCATTAAACCCGAGAAGACCCTGGGAATGAAAAGTTACGTGACAAACTGGACTTCCGGCGGAAATGCCGTTAGAATTTCCTTCTGAGGCTTGGGTTTTCTTGCGAAAACTTCATAAAATTACAGTTAGAAAAGTTGATCGGATGAAATCTACAAGAAAGGCTTCATTTTTTCACTGCTTCTTTGTTTTCTGAAGATTTCCTTTTATCAAATATTTAATGCAATCCTTAATCGACCCCATTCCTTTCTAGGGTGCTTTCCCCATATGCTGAAAGTAACGCTTGCGTCTACGTCAATTTTTTTCCGAGAGACCTGATTCTACAAGTCCACTTAGTTATTTGAACTCATTGTGACCTTCGGCCGCATTCGTGTATTGAGTCGAAAACATCTTAAAGGTACGCTTTATCACTCTTAAATTATGGTTTTAGAGAGATCAATTGTGATTCTTTGTTTTTAATCACATTTTGCAGCTGTGAGGTCAAAGTCAAGCGGAGTTCTGTCCAGAAGACGTCGAACTGCTCAAACCTGTTGTAGTATTTTCCGTTTCGCCCAGACACGATGCAATTCTCTTCTCTTTCGAACGGTAAAGAATCCTCTTTAAGCTCAAAAGATGCTTCTGCCCCAGTTACTCTCGATGTTTCTATCACTACGGCTGTGATTCTGGCCACTCTTTCCTCCTTTCTGTTCTTCTTGGCTTGCATTATAGTTTTCATATATTTCAAATGGCGTCTATGTCGACACGTTGTGGAAACTCGTATCGGACTTGTGGTCTTTTTCCTCGGAGCGTTACTCACCCTCATTACAACCCTCAGCTCCTATGAAGAACAAGAAATTTATGCAGTGTATCGCTTGACTCTCTTGGCCTCATGCGGAATTGGAGTGTTGATGATAGGTTGTGCAATGCTTTTCGAGAATCCTTCCCCTGACAGGCCGCTGGATGACTACGGCTACGAAAGACTCTCTGTTGGTTATATGCACGGTAGCTTGGGAATGATCATCTGGGTCATAACGATACCCCTCAGCATACTAGAGCTCTTCTTCGCCATTGGAGCTGCTCGGAAAGCACCCAACACAATGTATGCTGCTGTGAGGTACACAGCTCTGGCGCAAAAGATTGTCCAAGCAAGCGTGTACTACTTTAGTCTGCGACACAAGGTTGCTAGAGGAGATATGCGCATGGCGTGTTCGTGGCTTTTCAAGATAATCTCCGTCTTTAATTTTGCTTTTTTTATCGACTCACTAGTAACGTCAAATTCTGATAACGACTTTGTCCTAAGTCTGTTTGGCAATGGGTTCTCCATCGTGAAATCTGCATATAATGCCTTACTCATTGATTACAGACTGCTGTGCTGTTTGTTGTTTTTGGAGCATTCTTTGGAGTTGATGGATGTGCGCATAAACCGACCCATTGGAGATATATTATTTAACCCTGAAGCTAGTGAGGCAATGATGCAAGATTCTTTGGCCTCTGCGGTTGTTAATGTGGAAATCTCGCATTCCTCTGGCTATGGATATGTCATTGGCCTCATTCTGGTTGCCATGCAACTGGTAACTGGACTACAGTATCTTGGATTTGTGGGAGAGTGGACAAACATGTTCCCCATTCTAGCTTGTGGTGTTGTAATAATTTTTGGTCTCTTGCTACTCTCTGGAGACACAAGTTTCCCTGAAAACAACAGAGAGAGGAAATGGCGTGAGACTGAATCTAAGGCTATTGATATCATGGTGTGCTTTATGGGAACCATTGGCTTTATCTTCTGGTTCATGAAAGCTTCCTACTGTGGTCTTTGGGCCTCACAATACTCATCAACAACTGACATTGAGTTTTATCAGTATCTCTCTTGGACAACAATAAAAAACTTTGCTTATGCAATTGTAATCATCTTTCAGCTTTACTTCTTTGTTAAAATGGGTCCACATTTTGGGTGTGACCGTGAAAGCAGTCGTCAGAGGGCAAAACACTTTTACGTCACAACTATCATGATGGCTCTGTTTGCACTGCTCATATCACTTGTCATTGATGAATTCAATGGCCGAGTAGAAAAGCTTCTTGCTGAAGCACACATCAGCAGCACCATGTCAATATTTTTCCAGGCAGCAGCCCCCATACATCTTGGCTTTAGCTTGCACATGTTTCTGCATTTCTTCATTATGAGCAGAAGATTGTCTCAGTTTCAGTACAACTGGCAATATAACCAGGCAGAAGAACATCAACATAGTCAACAGTCCTCATCAGGGAACACTGGTGGTAACAGTACATCATCAAATGCTGAAACAGGGGATGAAAGACAGCCACTGATTTCCCACCCAACGTGATCTATATCACTAAGATGATTAACAAATATATTACATGACTTGCCATGCTGCGGTTCTGTAATAGATATTAATGATGTCAAATGGGGTAAGAACAAAAAGGTAGGACACAATGAGCAGTGGAGAGTGTCACTGATGCTCTTTTTTATATTTTTACGTCTTCTGTGATATTTTATTGTACAGACACAGCTAAATGGAATCTATTTGTTTTCTAGCATAACAAAGCAAAATGTTATTAACAGTGATGTTGTTTATGCATCTGTTCTCCAGTAGATTGTAAGTAAGATCAAAGCAAAATGCATCTTTAATTCAGCTAATCATATAATTTACAATAAAATGCATACCTTAAGATTTCAATGTTCTATTTCACCCAAGTTTTCAAGAACTTGAAGTAAATTGTTTGTACTGTGACCTGATTCATCTTGCAAACAAGAGAAGACCTTGTTGATACCTTGAAAAGACTTAGTAGATCAGATTTTGTTTTTATTAAAAATGACATTATTTTGCATGCTTTTATTTAACCAAGCTGTTGAGTTTTCACTGAAAGTAAACTTTAAAGGTCAAGTGAGTAATGTAAGATCACAAAGGTTTGAAATTATTACAGTGATCTTCAAATGATACATTGATTGGCATAATGTAATGTTCTATGTACGCCATTAGGACCTACATTATTTAAGCAAGAAAAGGATTATGGGACATGAGAATGAACTGGCCATGTTGTTGTTAAAAGTGTGCATTGATTAACCCTTTAACTCCCAAGATCTGATTGTTAATTCTCCCCTTTGGCTGCTACCACTTCCTTGTAAAGTAGTTATGAGAATTTGGTGTTAGATCAAGATGAAAACTTCATGATAAGTTTGAGTATTCTCATTACCTGTTTGCTGGATAATGTATGGATATTAAAGGGAGAAGTTGCATGTTAATCACTTCTGGGAGTTCAAGGGTTAAGAGACAATCCTACTGTTGTCATACGTCAAACATTATTTCCTGTGATCTATTACTGTACAGACCCACTGCAATTTGGGATCTTTTTGTTTTAAATGATGAAAAAGCAAAATGCTGTTAATGGTGATATCATTTTTGTGTCTGTCCTCCATTAGTTCATAAGTAAGAACCAATCAAGTTATGTACGTAATTCAGCTTATCATACTTGGTGTCTTTAATCTCAGTGGCAGATGAAAACAGTACATAAATGTTCTAGCATTTGAAACATTGTTTTGAACATTGAAATATTCAGATACACTTCATAAGATAGAAGATCCCTCATTGATTTGTGAATTACAGTCAGCCTTGAATGAAGATCAATGTGCACAGAGAGAATTTTAGTTGTCATCAATTTGTTTGTGTTTTGGACAAATTTGATAAAGATTTGCTGCACATTGATTTTTGTTATTAAAAGAAAATCAAATTATAGAGAACGGTGTGATTAATTTTTTTCATTGTTGTGTACATTTTATTTCTTCCAGTGCAAAGAAGTATGAATAGATGCACTGTGATAAATAAAAATCTATTTTTGACTTCTGCTTGGTTGATGTGTACTATAGGCATCATTTTCCCTGGGTTACTGTACAGTTCTATTTCTATGAAATTGTTTGTACAATTTGTTAAAAGGGGGTTCAGGCGGAAGGCAGTTGCCAGTAGGGAGTGGGGTAGCTCTGAGGGCATCCTCCCTCTGAAAATGTTTTTGAGTCTACAGGAAACATTTGAATTCTTTGAAGTTGGCTATCTCAGTGCATGGGGTTCGAGTGCCTCCCCCAGCCGCCCATCCTCTTAGATAACAAAAAATCGGATAAGCTACCTAACTATGAACAAGCAGTGCTAATTTATGAGTATGTGTTCTTTGTGATGTTTTATTTTTTTGTGTGTTGGAGTTCAAGTGTGGATTGCTCTCTACAAGTCTCCCCTAGGAGAGAAGTTCCAACATACTTGGATCAAAGCGAGATAAAAGTAAGCGATGCGAGTGCCGCGCAAGGGCCTGGGCGAAAGTGTACTCAACTGGAACACGGCATCGTGAAATAGGCGTTGACGCTTCAATTGGGTGGGGACGCTTGAGGTGGATGGTGACGTCTAAAAAGCCTGTCGACGTCAAAAAAGAGTAGCTGCGCCTATATCTGGTGGCTACATCCTAAACTGGCTGTGACTTCTGACATAAGCGGTAGCGCGGCAGCGACGCGTACGTAACGCAGCATGGACGCTACCTCTAATTTGGGTCAAGTCGCCTTAGATTTACCCTTTCGTCTCACATGCTATTGGAAGATGATGCACTACCCTGATTGCAGAATTCTCTATTCATTTAAATCTTCGTTCAGTGCACGAAAAAAAAGGAGTTAAGAGCAAAACAACGAAAGCGAGCTCTAAGGGGTGGAGGAGGCCCCGGCCTCGGCCTGGCGCGCGCGCGCGCGCTTCGCTCGCAGAAAGATGAATAAATTGCACAGAGAAGCTAACGTTACTACAGATGAGAAGTGATGTCTAGTTCATCTAGCTGTGCCCAGACAATTAAGCACAAATTTTCGTAGTTTGCGACGAACCAGGAAAAGATACTTCTATTACTGGTCTCAAGGAAGGCTGAAAGCAGGGCGGAGAGAGGTTGGCCCAACCTCGCTCTCGGCACTGCTGAAACAGGGTTGGGCGTGGTAGCGCGCGCAAATTTTCTTTCACGTAATGCTAACGTAAGTTACACGTCACAAAGAGAGATCACGCGTCAGAAATTGAAAACGGCAAAAAAATTTTGCAGAGTTAGCTGGCAGGAAAGACGTTCAGACTTGCAAACAGAACAGTTAAAAAACTACGATGGCGAGTTGTAAGAAGAAATACTCTGAGCGTAAGTCAATGAAACGATTCTATGATCTTAAACAAAAGCAAGTGACCGGCTGGCTGGAAATTTCTAGGTTATTTTCATGGCAAATCGTGTGGGAATATTTGCGCGCTGAACCTAAGAGTAAAAATGAAAAAATTACATACAACCAAACGTTTCGATAGTTGATACCAAAACTGTCATCTAGGGCGAATCATATGCTGGCTCCACGGCAATAATAAACTTCACGGCAATAAGCTCCTCAGCAATAGGCTCCACAGTAGTATGACATTATCTTACTCATTCCTCCTCAATTATCTTACAACAAAGACGGTCAACGATCATTTTAGTACTGGAAAACGTGTTTAATACATTTCATTACCATAACAGATTCTTTATTTTAAATGATTTTTTTAGTATTTGGGGACACTTCGTTAACCATTTTTATCGCATTAGAGCAATTTTCAATCATCATATTGAGCGTCGAAAGTAATCCGAGATTGTTTGGGTTTTGCTTTACTTCGCTCTGTGATTGGTTCTGAAAACTCGCGCCATTATCTCGGCCAATCATGTGCGAAACTAAAACCTCGGTCGCCCGGCACGTTTTCCCGTGCTGTAAGCGCTTGGTCTTTTTTTAACTTGAGTTCTCATTGGCTCTCGAGGGTATATTCCTTTGTTCTGATTCGCCGATGTGATTACATTGGTTTTGGTTTTACGACACTGAATCAAAAATTACTTTACTTTCTAACGTATTGTATTTGTTTTAGTTCGCACAAACCGCAAGGAAAAGTTATCCTCTCCCAAGAAAGAATTGTCTTCTAATGACAGCGATGTGCCTTTGTCTAACAACAATTTAATATCAAAATGTAATGATCTTGAACAGGCAAACAAGGTAGGTCTAAACACAAGCTATATGCTTACAGTTTCTCGCAAAAATTTAATCAACCTTTGCACAGGTATTTTTTCTTACAGCCCAGTAGCTTTACAGGGGTAGCTTTACGGAATCAGATCAGTATAGTTGGCGTTGCCCGAAATTTCTGGAAAATAGCGTAATTGGATAAGCATTCAGGCCTTCACCTTGGAATTAAGGAGGGTGTGAAGAAATGAATGTCATCGCAACTTCTTTTTCTTGACCTTGAATGTTTTCAAATCAGAGAACCCATATAAGTAAATTTCACACATCTATACCTTTTTTTCATTAGGATTTGAGGGATCTTATCGAGTCCAAGAAAAGCTCGATTCATACGGCACTGACTACAATTCAGTAAGTCGCCTATTGAATTTATACGGCTGAAAAGTTTATCAATTCTACTAGAAGTGGAAGGGTAACTAGAGTTAAAATTCATAAAAATTAGCTTGCATATGACACAACCAGCGAGCGTACCCTCACTATTAGAGCTGTAGGAATTTAGGACGCGCGTTTCTCCGCCCGCGGGGAGAATGGAGACTACTCAGAGAGGTTTGTCGGAGGTCTGACACTAATAATGCTGGGCAGACCTCTTGCTGGCTCGTGTGGTTCAACGCTTTATCCTTCCCGTGGGGCAAGAAACGCTTGTCCTGAAGCGCTATACTAATGAAGGCTCACTCGCACGCACGCACGCTACGCGAGACAGAGAATACATGCAAAAGGGAAAGCTTAAAAAGTTACCAAAGAGAAAACTAAGAATCAATCATTTTAAAAGCATTAGCATATTGTTTTAGCTACAGCTTGGAGCTACTGTAGTAGTCAGTAGTCTAAGTGTGTCAGGATTCCAAAGTCCTTTGAATTTGCTGGTTAAGTTTCCTTTAACAATTGCTCCGGCACATCTTCGGTAAAAAACAAACCCCGTTTTTTTCACAAGTGACGTAGATCGAAAAAAACAAAAAAGGCCGAAACAATAGAGATCAGGAAAAAAAAGACAACTGCAACAAAGAAAAAACTCACAGGTTCTTTCATCGAGGTAAACCTGTTACTCTTTATGTAAATATGCACCTATTCAGTGTTCTCGAGTGAGAGAAGGGGTCAGCCGAACACATGCTACTGATCTATAATATTACTTAGTGCACTTGAATAACTGGACATAAATTAGTTAACATCCTTCTCTTGCACAACTAAATTTTTCCATTTAAATTCCCATGCAGAGATGTTCAACTGACTGTGAAAGAGGCGCGTAAAAGACTTGAGACGGAGACCGGTGCCATGAAGGTGAAAATGTAAACTTATTGTAAGAAATAACATTTAATGAAGTTTTCTCCTCAGTTTAGATTAAAAAACTTAAGTTACCAGTGGTCTTACGAGCCAGGCGGATCGTTAGGTTTAATGAAACTGTTTTTCACCAAACACTTTTTATTTTTTAACAGATTGAATTGGTTAAATTGCGGGCGGAGCATGTGCAGAATTACAAGCAAGTATCTAGTTCCAGATCATTAAAGGGTCGATCTCGGTGTTGTATTTAGTGTTACCCTACAAGAGTATTATGAGATATGATTTGCCCCTGAGGTGGCTCCATCTACTAACTTACTGAAAACACTTCGTATTGACGAAGTGTTCAAAGATTTTTGTAAATTGCAGACGGTTAAAACAAGGCTTTCCATGGATGAAATTTTAAATAAGCACGTAAAAGTCTTTATGATCATAACGCATCAGTATTTGAAAGATGAAAACTTCAGCGACGTGCGTAGAGATTCGAGATGACGTAAGTTACCGTTTGGGCAGTGCAGTGGACTGGTACTAGCTCACAAAGTGACTCACCTCTACTTTCCTCAACGATATTTGTGTTCGCCTCGGAAAATGATGCCACATATTTTTACGATGTGCATGAAAGGATGGCTGTTTTTATTGAAAGGTCTTGCGAGAGTGAGAGAAGAGACCTAGACATATTTTTCTGGATTATTCTTGAGTATTTGCCGAAATACTGTTTTCCATCGTACCCGGTATCACATATACTCATATACAGTAAAAGTAATGGGCTCTTAATAAAACGGTAACACCAAATTATTTGTTTGTTTATGCCTTTTTCCGAATATTTTTCTCTTTATTTTTTGTTCAGACAATGTAATGTAAGCAGGATTCAAGAAGAGAAATATTATATCAATGCTGTGAGTAAACGGTGGTTTAGTTTTTTAAATTAAAAAAAACAATTCATTGCGTCAAGTCTACTTCTTTATTCTAACTTCTTTGTTTTCCTGGGTTTTTCCCCCTATTTTAGGCGAACGTAGACAAGATAAAAAAGTTGCGAAGGTGAGTACGTAGTTTTGCAGCTGTCTTTCTCTCTTCGGTATTTTCTTTAACAAGTGCAATTAATCGGTTTTCTTTACTGTGGGGCTTCTCTTACTTCAAGGGAGCAGCCGACATCTTTGGTGCTAACGCGCATTTCGTTAAAAATTTAACTAACCAAAGGGACTGGGCATTATTTATTACCCTGTGTGAGGGGGAGGGGTAGGGGGTGGGGGATTTTAGGGTGTGTGACAATGAAATTTTATCTGATCCCCCTAAGGCTCTGTAGTTTTCTAATGATCCCCCTCATTGGCAGTCAATTTTCTATAGACCCCCTATATACCCTGTTGTAAAGAGGGGTCCCCCTCCGTTCCCCGACCGTTCCCCTTTTCTTAAGATGCGTAGCAACTTTTGGCATTGCAAATCATTTTGCAACATTTACTTTAAGTGCTATGCGAACAAAAAGAAATGAAAATCGCGATGGAGAAGTTTAATTGTTCGT